ATCCAAACCAATATCGATGAAATGACAAGAATAAACGAGAAAAAGACTTTGGTCGTTTGTATAGGCGATTGCTGGCTGCTGAACTTAGTTAAGGCGTTTTTCAATTTTATTAAGTGCTGAATTGACTTAATTATAGTATTAGAAAAATAAGAAACTAATCATAGAGGTTAGGTTTCGGTTTTATTTAAATTAGCGGTAACTTCAAAATAAAAATCTGATAAAAATATTACAGAGTGATATGGTTTTCATAGGTAAATGAAAAAAAAAAAATAAGCGTAGCAACTACACAACTACCACGGAACTCTAAATTTCTGCGCGAGCCTGGGTAATATTTCGATATATTTGCACCCTCTTCACCGATTAGAGATCAACAGCACCTCTTCCTTACATTGACATATTTTCCCAATATTCCCAATATTCAGTACAGCCCTTCTAATTACTTGTCTAGATTCTCTTCACCGTGGGTTTTGTTGTGATGTTCGGATGTTCGGTTTGTGGCCTATAGATCGACTCAAAAAAACAAAAAAACAAACAAAAAATTAAGTTTTCGGTCCACTTCATCCCAAATTTTGTATGTGGTCATCGCTGAAAATTATAGGCGTTGTCCTCGACCATACCTGGAACCTCATGGAACAGTTCAAAGCTAGATTCTAAATAATATATGAATACGTAAGCACCTGTAAATATGTACGTGTAACTCTCACATCCGACAATGGAATTGCTATCAAATTGAAGGTCAAACACCCCTTTGGATATACTATCAACTCCTCGGGTCTATGTCCTTCAGGGGTAAATATATACACCATAGAATGGAAATTTTGTCATTTTTCACACAAAATTCAGGGTCCATTTGACCCGCCAAATATTGACCGATCTTTATCAAAACAGTCGTGTTTATTATTGGGCCCGATATAAAGTGTTTGGGCCATAATAAAGTTGTTTCCCTAAATATTAACCTTCTTCATAGGCCAGAATCCATCCTACATGCAAAATTTCGTGAAGATTGGCCTATATCGTGTTTACAAATTATAATGGACACATATACCCTGACAATATAGTTGTGTAGAGTATAATTACTATGGCTTGCGGAGCTCTAAGTTGTATTAAAGGTATGTGTTTTCATCTAAGCGTTAACCATCAGTGGAGAAGTACCAGAAGAGGTTGCCCTATAGACCCATCTTCAAATTTAAAGTAGGTTTGGTAAAATATCTCGATGGGCAAAACAATTAATTACATCGGTTATTCAATTCGCTTCAAATTAAATTTAAAGGTTTTTTTAATTTTGACTCTTTGTGGGCGAGGTACCAGAAGGAGAGGACCACCTTTGAACTTGAGGTATGTAAACTAAACATATTGGGATGTGCAATGTTCGATAAAATGGGACATTCCGTTCGCTTCATATGAAATTTACAAGTTTTCAAAATATTAAATCTTTGTGGGGGAGATACTAATAGGAATGCGCTGATAAGTCCCATTTTCAAATATTATACAGGCATGGTTAAAATCTGAAATTCTACAAATGTTAGTTCAAATCCGATATTCCATTGGCTTAAAGGTCGTTTACATTTAACCGGATTTGGTTAACCCAGTGGGTTTAAATTTTCAATTCCTTTGAATATATGCCAAATAAATCCTCATAAAGTAGGTTAACCCGGTAAAAAGTTCTAATGTAAATGCCGTATTATACGGAATTTACATTATAACTATATACAACAGCACGTGTAGTATCAGCGTCTTGTAGAGAGTGAGTTTGGTCTGACGAGCGGTGGCCTTGTTACTGAATTGCTTACTTAGACCATAGTAGCATCTGTTGGCCAACACTATCCTTCTCCGAATTTCAAAACTGATGACATTAGTTTTATTTATAACGGCACCAATGTATTTAAAATATTTGACTACATCGAAGTTGAAGTTCTCAAGTTCCACAGTTGGTCAGAGTCTACTGGACATCTTGTTCGTTGATTCCATCAGTTTGGTCTTCTCGCCGTTTACCGCCAGACCCACTTTGGCAGACATCTTCCCAATTTGTTCAAAGGTAGCTGTTACCGCTCGTAATGTTCGACCCATTATGTCGATGTCATCGGCGTAGGAGAGTAACATATGCTGTTTGGTGTACAGAGTGTCGTTTCTGTTCACATTTGCATCTCGTATGACCTTTTCCAGCAGGATATTGAACAGTTCACACGACAAACTGTCACCTTGACTTAATCCTCGTTCGGTATTGAAGGGCTCCGAGAGGTCCTTTCCTACTTTAACTGCTGACCTTGTGCCAGTTAATGTTATCCCGCATAGCCGTATTAATTTTGCAGCAATGCCGAACGCTGACATGGCTTTAAAATCCTCTGAACGGATAGCGCTATCGAATGCAACTTTATAGTCGACGAATAGGTGAAATGTGTCGATGTGCTTTTCGTGGGCCTTTTCCAGGATTTGAAGCTGAGTGAAAATCTGGTCAATTGACTGGATTTGCCAGGCCTGAAGCCGCATTGGTATGGTCCAATAATGCCATTGACCATTGGCTTCAGTCGTTCACACAGCACGCTGTATAGCACATTATATGCGATGGGGAGGAGGATTTATTCCTCTATATTTGACACATATCGTCTTGTCTATTTTTTGTGCATTGGACAAAGGATGCGCACATATCGTATTGTCTCCTTTTTTGTGCATTGGACAAAGAATGCTGCGGTTCCAATTATTTGGCATGCATTCCTCTAGCCTAGTTGTACCACCTGCATACGCTAGTAATCCACCGGCACCTGCTGCTTTATTGTTATTCAGCCTATTAATTGCTACTCTGACCTCATTTTGGCTAGGTGGTATACAGTCTATACGTCATTTCTTATTGGTTCTGGGGTATCTACTTCTCGACCACTATTCGATATCAAAAGCATTGCAAAATGCTCCTTCCAGATCCTCAACAGGCTATCTGTGTTCAGCAACATTTTGACCATTTTGTGTGGGTGGTAGCAGAAGGAGTGGATCGATATTCCCCATCTCCGAACTTAATTTACATTTGGAAGAAATATTACGATTTGCACGGTTTGGATGAAGTCGGTTACTCCCTTCGAGAGTTATCGTGTGCACCAGCCGGCCAGAGACAGAGACGGACGGACGGATTTGTTCCAAAGAAATATGAAGTCCAATCCAAGTCATGAGGAGGCATATTTTTGCCCTAGCAAAGTGTATATACTCTAATTAGCCATAAGGCTGAGGGTATAAAAATTACTAGACATTAAAAAAGCAAGAAGTACTTTAGGCCAAGAACTTTTTCATCCTCTGAAAACCCGTAAATTCTCTTAAGGTAGGATAAAGCTCACTAAAATACTATAATGTGGTGCAACAAAATACACTCCTATCAACGTTGGTAGAGGAAAATTTGAAATTCGGAAATTTCAGTCTTTGTACGATTTCTTACAAGAACGTTTTTTGAAAGAGCAGTTATATTCGGTATAACCAGCATTATCCTTTTATGAATATAAACAGATCGATTCTTATATTGCTCCATAAAAACTCTGTGGTTTTATATCTACTTTCCAAGGCATCCAGCCATTGAATTTTTTATTGCCTAGACATATTTTCTAGGCAATCATGCCGTAATTGAGAGAATGAATCCCACACTTTTCACCTCTAGACATCTCCTATTTACACCCTCAGCCTTATGGCTAATAACTCCGAAGACCTCCTCCGCAAACCATAGGGTGAGTTATATATCTGTCGGCAACACCGACTGACACTTTTTTACTTGTTTTTAAATGCAATAAAACAGAACAATGTTTTTTTTTGCACAATAGTTCATTTATTTCATTATTAGTTCATTATTTTGTGGTTGTTTTATTTTGTTTAAAAAATCAAAGTTATTAATTTGTAAATTTTCAATTTGTAATTTCTTTTTTGTTGTTTTGTCTTGCATTGATGATAATGTTGTTGTTGGTATAAATATGAAATGTTTAATTTTTTTTGTATAACGAAATTTAATTGTTGTTTTTTTTATAAAAAGGAATTGGTAATATATTGTTGTTTTATAAATAATTTGTTATGTATAACAGTCGCTGGTTTGGTATAAACATGTAGAAAGAGAGATAGAAAAGGAAAAAGAGTGAATTCTAGTCAAAGACTGTTTTCAAAATATTTAGCAATTTAACAAATGTTGGTACTTTTTATTGTTTGTTTGTATGTTTTTAACAAAAGTGTAAAATATAAAATATGATCACATATGTATATAAAAATATAACATTCACTCAAGCTTGGCGTTAAACATTTCGAAAACAATCCTTGATGTGTGTGTGTTTTTTTTTGTTTGCTGTGGTTCAGTATAAGAAGAAGTGTGTGTATTTTGTTGGTAAACTATGTTTAAAATAAATGGAAATTTGTTTTTTGTTTTATTTATATGTATGTACGTTTATATATATAGTATATTACAGGTCTATGTTTAGTTACTACAACAAAGGACTTAATAATATTATTACAGATAGATTTTTATGATCAAAACAAGTATGTTTTTGTAGATTTTTTGTAATTTTCTTCATTCATGCCTTAAATGGATCGCGGGAGATTTCGTTTTCGAACAAAAATTGTCCATGGGTGGCCTATGTTTTTCTCTTTCAACGTAGTGTACTTTTTTGGGCCATCACGAAATCCCTCTTTTCTTATGATAAATAATTTCTTTCATTCCATTTCATTTTGTTTTGCTTTTTTCTTTTCCTTCCACACATTACTTAATTTTATAATTTTATATCAATATTCTTCCTCATATTTTTTCCATGCAAATTTAACGGCCAGTTAAGATTCATACTCTCCCTCCATGGGTGTTTGTACAAATCTCAACTGGCCGTTAAACTCGTTTAATTAGAACATATTTAGTACAAAGGCAGGTTATTATAAAATTAGTATGTACACAATGTTTGGATATCTCAAGGAGTCGGAGGACACAACATCTTATGGGTCTTAACTTTTTACAGCTTCTACACATTAATGTGAGATCTATCTCTACAGGTTGCTGTTGTTCTGGATCTAAGAGAAATAAACTCGCATTACATCGGCAAAGGGCTTGCGGCACATGGGACATTTTGTCACCGAAGAGGCGCACTTGGCACAGGCCACAACATGGCCACAGGGTAAAAACGCCGTATTGTATTCGTTGGCATAGCATATTTTGCACAACTTCTCCTCGGGTATTGATGTGCTGGATCGCTTTTGTTCCAGAGGCGACGTGACAAAAGCCGCAGTTTGGCCGGCAGGTGTCTGCTGTTCGTTGGAACAAGGTTGGGGGATTGAAGATGCTGCTACTTTTGTTGCAGTGGAATTTGTTTGTTGAATTTCCTTGTCGGCAGGACGTACTGCTGGCTCCCCCTCTTCTTCGGACGAGGACAGAGAGGACTCCGACGATGATTCCGATGAAGGTGCTGGAGTGCTGTTATTACTTGTTGGCTTTTTCATCAACTTATTTGCCACGGCCTCAATGAAGGCGTCACCTTTCATCAACTTTACAAAACGACATTTGCTCATCCACAAGGCATGCTGTTCCCAGGGTTCGTCATCATCATCCCAATCCTTAAGGCCACCACCACAGCTGAAACACTTGACACGATCACCCACACCGGTATAGAAGAAGCCAGCCTCTGCCAATTGTTCGGGTCTCTGTTTCATGTTTCTGGGCCATTCGGCAAAGGATCGTATACGGGCCGTTTCAATGGCATATTCTGGCACCTCGGGGAAAAAGGTGCCCCCTGGTGTCATTCCACTACCGCTACTACTGACGCCTGCAGCCATTAACATTGGTGAGGCGGGTGGTATATCAGCCATCAGGGGCGCTGGAATTGTGCCTTCGGCAAATGCATTTCTTCGGATTTCAATGTCATTTGCTCCACAAATGTCATAGCTAGGGGCGGGTAGGGTACGCTCTAAGAGCTCAGCATTAATGGGCACATTATTTGTGGTGCGTCGCCTTAAAAGCGGACAATTGGGCGACCAGCGCAGATGTTCAGGTACAGGTTGATCTTCACGTTCCCAGCGGCCAATTTCCACCTCACAGAAGTAGCATTTTGTCTTGTCCGATTCGCCCATATAGAACATACCGGAACGGGCCAATTCATTGCGATCCAAAAATTCCAATGGCCAATTTTCGAACGTCTTTAAGCGTTCATCTTCACGATGGAATCTATCGTCCATGGCATATCGTGGCGTCAGCTGGCCTATTTGCATGAAATCGTTATGCGTATTGTTGTCCGTTTCGTCCTGATTTAGAGATGTTGCGGCGGTTGCTTGTGTTGGAAATAGACGAAATGTTATAAAATCACTAATCGATAAAGTGGGTGCGGCGGCAACTGTTGTTGTGCCCGATGTTGGCCTAGGGAATAATGGCTGTGATGGCCGTATTTCGGTTGCTAAATCTCCAGGCATTTTCACAATTATTGTTGTAATCTTGTTGTTGTTGTTGTTTAAATTGGTTGGATGACAAGTGTTGACTGCTGCTTCTACTTGTTGTTGTTGCGTTTTTTATTACAAGGAATTCAAACTGTAATGGAACAGAAAAATAGAAATAATTACAAATCAGTTAAATGTGTGTGTATATGAAGACAAAAAGGAGTATAATAAACGATAAGAAAGTGTTGAAATATACGAGGATTGGAAGATAAAAAAAAAATTCTGAACGATAAGTAGATTAAATTTAAATGTCAAGTAATTGTAAATAAAAAATAAAAACATGAGAAAATTTATAACCATTTTGTTATTACAAAGAAGTGCTAAGGCAATTGACCGATAACAAAGATGTTAAGACGCAATTAAAATAGCTTCCTGCCCAACAAGGTTGAGGAGGGACACTTTGAAATTAGTTGGTAAAATATGTAGGGATGTAGGAATCAAGGCCAGAAATATAACAAAATGTTTTTTTCGCTTCTGCAGATTTTGTTTTGATTTCAAAATCTTCTGGGCTTTGATGGTCACCTTGCATTTATGAGGATAAAGCTTTGAAATTTTGCTATGATGTTTGTTATTAAAATATCAAATATTTTTAATATAGTTCCATGTTGAGACAAAGCGTCTTAATATAAAGATTCCGCTCCCTTTTCGGTATTTTGAAATCCCAAGCCACATCTTACAATCTAATTGCTGGTAATTTGGCATTTAAGGTTCTCGAAAGATAAAAGACCTGCTGGGATAAAACTTTTCAATACAAATTCATGGTTGAATAAAGCCACATGATGATCCATTACATATATTTTAAAGATCTTTGTTACAATTTTCTAATCGACTTGGAGGTTCTCATTTTTCCTGTTTTCAGAAAATAATAGACCTCCTCGTAGAAAATTATCCATGAAAATCCAGGTTTGGATATAGATCCCAAAATAAAGCTAAGATACAATTATAGGCATTTTTAAGTTCTATGCCGCATATTTGCCAATCGGAGCTGGCTGGAATTTAGTATTTCGTCGTACAGATCGCCTCGCAGAAAATTTTCAATATATCCAAAGGTAATGTAAAGCTATACCAATTTTAGTATAGATTCAAAACACGAAGTGATCGAATTTTAAAATTATTTTACTTGTTAAGTAAAGAAGAAAATCAAAATAATTTTGAAAGTAGTGAATAAATAATTTTGTGTACAAAAATAATAGAATTGTGTCGGAAATAAAAACATCTGAATTTACGACTCAAAATGCAATTTTTGGGACAAAAATCGATTTTTGGGAATAGTGATTGAAGAATTTGCCATACACTAGTCAATCTCACATATACACAAAGGGGTTCATCGGCATGACAGCATGATTTATAGTGTATGTGGCCCTTTAGAAAATGTTCCATATATACATAGCCGAAGATCATTTGGAGCAGGGCCATTCTTTTTCATGGTTCATAAACTTTTGGAACCGGTTAAAGTTGTTAATATATTTTTTTTATTTTTTACAATTAAATTTCAATTTAATTCCAGTAACGAATGTTATTTGTAGTCCTTTAGAGTTGAAGATATTGACCAAGAAAATTATATCTATATGAAATCAATTAATTGTTGTTCTAAATTGTCAAATACTAATCATTGTTTTTAATTGTTCTGAAGTTTTGAATTATCTAATATGTCATTACTGTATATGTATTTGAATCATTTTTATTTTTAATTAATGTTTTTTCTTTTTTTAATTATTTTGATTAATTCTGTTTAAATTCCACTTCAAATATTTCTCAGAATTGTTGCTTATTTGTTTTTATCACATCACAAACAAAATTGTTTACTAATATTAAATGATATTAGTAGATTTTTGTGGGCAAAATATTTATCAGTCTATGATAAGATTTTAAAATCCAGAATTTCACACACATGGGAGGAATTTTACAGTATTTATAAATAATTATTACGTTTTTATTTTTAATTTTTTTTTTTCGAAATGGAAAAACACTTCAAAATTTAATGACAAAATAGCAAATTACTATTTCGAAAATGTCGAATATATTATTTTCATTTGGCACAAGGGAAAGAGGAAAAAAATAGGCATTTCTCTTTTTATTTTTGGCGTTTTAATTGTATGGAAGAAATGCTCTCTCTCACACAACAGAGTTTCTCAGATGTCAGGGGAACAAAACTCACTACAAACAATTCAAATCACGCGCACTAGAGTTGTCGTGTATACTATAGAAAATATATAATTGTAATAATAACCACCACCACCATCATCATCATCATCGCCGCCATTACCACCTCCTGCTGTTGCATTATGATGAACCCCCTGAACAAATGCTGGGAAAATATTGATTTTTTTTTTACATTTTGTTTTATATAATTTTTATTCCAATTGCTGTTTTGAGTGGGAAATTTTTTTTGAAACTAAACTTTGAAATATGCAATCCATTTAATTTATAGTAGGTACTCCAAACTTCGTGTAAACGTTGTACGGTACGTGATAACCGAGACAGAGTCACATTTTTTCTTTATATTATAGATACACTTTCTTATCAAAAAATGTCTTCATTTTTTCATTACAAATTTTTTTAAATTACCGTTAAGATAACACAGGGCAGCACTTTTTTATATTGTTAATTGTTTGCAACACAGCATTTTATTTGTATTTTTTTGGTTTTAAATAAATAATTTAATTAAGTATAAGTTATGTAGTAGACTCTGTGAATAGAGTAGAGAAATAAAATTCTATTTTAGACTGGCTATACACGCGGCGTTTTATTCTTGTTGATACCACACGATGCCGTTCACTTTTACAAATGACGATGTCGACATTTGTTGTATGGAAAATTATATATCAAAGTCTGGTATTTCCACCACCACAAGCATACAATGGCCTCACGCGCTCTCTCTTACGCTTGCCTGTTCTCTCTGAATGTTGCTGCACTGCACTACACTACAAATACAGTGTATCTATCTATCTGTTATCTGCATTTTCATTAACAAAAACCAGAGTTTGTGGGAACAATCCAGGCGAATCGTACTCTCTCCCGTTTAATTTCGAACAAATGTTTTAGGGTTGCTGAGAGAGAGAGAGGAAGAGCTAAATGGAAACTAATTTTGTCAATGGCGTTTCTGTTTTTCGAAACGTATCTTAAATAATACGTATTTCGAAGAGAGTAAAAGATAGTATTTTGGGGTAGGTAGTTAGTAAAAAGATATTTTAGTTGTAAACAAACAACCCTCTGAAATGCTTAAATAGTTGCCAGACCTTGAATAACAGGTAAACGGGGATTTGTTTAGTATCTTATCTATATATTTTTTGTTAAATCATAATGATTTGCAAATTTTTGAAAAATTCAAATTACGAAATCAGTTTCACATGAAAAATAAACAAACTTATCAATGTTTTGGAAATGTGAAAAATAAAATTACAAATATACCGGAAATAACAAATTCCATATACGAGGGCATTTCAATAATGCCTTTACTCCTCCTCCCTTAAGTTATCATTTATTGATATAAACCATAACATTTTGAGACAGTTCGGACATTAAGATTTGGACTTGAAATCGGACGAAAATATATATGGAAGCTATACCCACATATGAACCCATTTCAATGAAACAGGTTATACTAATTATAGTACGTTTTATTCCTATCTATTGGTTCATAGTTCCCATATATTGGTTCATTGATGCGCCAATTACTTAAAATTAATCGATAATATATATATATATAGATCTGAACCGATTTTCACGAAACTCAGTACACATTATTCCAGACCCAATTCAGTACGCTATGCCCAATTTCGTGGAAAACAAAAATATATAGGGGCTTTGGTGCACCATTAACATTAAATCGGACGAAAATATAAATTACGAAATCAGTTTCACATGAAAAATAAACAAACTTATCAATGTTTAGTTATCAAATAAAATTACAAATATACCGCAAATAACAACTTTCATATACGAGGGAATTTCAATAATGCCGTGACTCCTCCTCCCTTATGTTATCATTTATTGATATAAACTATAACATTTTGAGACAGTTCGGACATTAAGATTTGGACTTGAAATCGGACGAAAATATATATGAAAGCTATATCCACATATGAACCGATTTATAGTACGTTTTGTTCCTATCAGCCATATATTGATTCATTGGTGCGCCAATTACTTAAAATTAAAATATATATATATATATTGGTGCACCATTTGCATAAAATCGGACGAAACTATATATGGGAGCTATATTTAAATCTGGACCGATTTTCACGAAACTTGGCAGACATCACATTAGGCTCAATTCAGTATGTTGTGCCAAATTTCGTGCAAATCGAAAGATATTTAGGGACTTTGGTACACCATATACCTTAAATCGGACGAAAATATATATGGGAGCTATATCTAAATCTGAACAGATTTTTCCCAATTTCAATAGGGTTCGTCCTTGGGCCAAATAAGTAGCCTATGTTAAATTTCATCCAATTCGGATCATAAATGCGACCTGTACTTTGTTTACAATTTAACATGGATGGAGAGACGGACGGACATGCATAAATCGACTTAGAAAGTGATTCTATGCATATTCTCAAAATGAACCATGTGTCTATCTCGTTTCCTGTTGCCTGTTACGAACATCTGCACAAAGACATAATACCCTGTACCATAGTGTGGTAAAGGGTATAATAATCGATATTTGGAAAAAAATTTAATTAAAAACATTAATTTTTTAAATAGTTTAATTAAGTAAATGTATATTAAGGCCAAATAATGTAAAAAAATACCGAAAATACATACTTATATTTAATATTTTCTATTTAAGTAATCGGTATTCGGTTATGCGTAATCGTTAAATAGTAAAACTAACATTATATACAGAAAGAAATGAATTAATCAATTGAAAGTAATCGATATTCGGTTAACTGTTATCGAAGTGCGGTGGTATATTTTAAAGGTTTTTTTTAGACCAAAAGCAATATTGGCAATATAAAGTTGTGTAC